GCGGCCGCAAGGCACACCCTTGGTTCGTGATGCCCGGGCCGCGCCGGCCCACGGCGGTGGTCGCGACTCGACCTTGCACCTCGCCCAAAGCGCCTGCCCCCTTCGCCCCTGGGCCAGGGCGCTGCCCGGCAGCCGCAGTAGCAGGGGCCAGACGCCGGGGCGCTGGCGGCTCAACCACACGATAGTAGCCATGGGCGAGGGGGGGGGGGGGGAGGACCGGGCACCCAGGCCGGGCCGGGGTGGCTGGCTGGCTGGCTGGCCAGGCCGATACATCGGGCCGGGTGCCGACCCGCCGGCCATGTTACAGGGCCGAGCGAGCGAGTGAGCGAACGCGTGCATGTATGTATGTGGATGCCCCCCCCCCCCCCCCCTGCCTTGCCAGCGAATGGCCCACCGGCGAACACGCTGGCCGTGTGCCCTGCCACCGCGCGCATCCCGAGCCCCTCCCGCCGCCGGGTGCCGAGAGGGGGCCCAGTCATCCCGGCGCCCGTGCACGCACCGGTGCCTCGGCGCCCCCCCCCCCTCTCGCCTTGCCCGGCCCATGCGCGGCGAAAATCAGCCGCGGGCGCGAGATTAAGGGGGTGCTGGTTTGGAATTTACCCGGGCCCTTTCGGCCCGGGGCTCGGGCGCGCCGGCGCATTCGTCGGCCTGCCGAGGGCCCAAGGCGGGCAAGGGGGGCACGACCAGCTGAACCGGGCGCCTGTGCGCGGCCGGGCGCCGGCTCGCGCCTCGCGGCAGGCGCGTCTTTCCACACGGGGACGCATACCACCGGCCTCAATGGAGCACAAGACCCAGCCGGGGGGGGGGGGGGGGCAATGGGGGGGAGGGGGGGGGGGGGGGGGGGGGGGGGGGGGGGAGGGGGGGCGGGGGGGGGGGGGGGGGGGGGCAAGCCCTTCCGGGCCTCAACAGCGCCTGCCAGCAGGCCCATCCCCTCCGGCCGGGGCGGACGTGTGGCCAGCGACCGCCCCGAGGGCAGGGCCACCCATCGCCCGGGACCGGCGGCCCGGCGCCGGCGGTTGCTCCCCTGCCCCCGGGCCTCCCAGCTGGATCGAGCCCTGCCGGGAGCCGCGGCGATCCGACCGGGCAACTGCATGCACCATCTCCGGTTGTACCCGCTCCCCGACCCATGATGCCCGCATGACCCGGAGGGGGCGCTCGCGCATGCATCTGCACGCACGCACACACATATGCACATGGACCCCCCCCCCCCCCCAGGCCTTGCGGACAGATGGGTCCGGCGCCGTCTGAAACCAGGGGCCGGGGGAAGTCTGCCTGGCATGCCGCGAGCCTGCCTCGGCGGGCAAATTGCGTCCTCCGCGCCCCCCCCCCCTCCCCGCCCATCCTCTTGCTGTTCGAGGCCGATCCCTCTTGCTCCAGGGCTCAGATCAGCCTCCGGCGACCGGCAAGGTGCGAGCAACCGGGGGAGCCCCTCGGCGCGAGGGCCGGTCCCCAGCCCAGGGAGGAGATGGAGAAAAAGCCGCTGCGGCATCCCGCCCCCTGCCCTCACCGGGATTGCCGCAGGTCGCCGCCCCTCCGCCCCCCCCCCCTGCCCATGGCCAATGGCCGGGGCCCCCTGCTTGGGTGCGCCGAGCGCGGCACCGCCGTGTCCGCACGGGCCCGTGCCGCCCGGGAGCACTATATAAAAGCCGCCCGGCC